TAAACGACTTATTGTCTCAACGATCGAAGCGTTTGGAAGAATCGATGTTTTGGTAAAGAACGCGATTTTTGGTGCCTTTAATGCAATTAGCGATCCAAACATTTTGCATACTTTCAATAGCCTTATGAACACAAACTCGCGTTCAGTCGTCTATTTAACGTATCTATCGGTTGAACACTTGGAGAAAACCAAAGGAAATTTCGTAAACATGTCGAGTATGGCTGCATTCAAATTCTTTAGACATTAATTAAATTTAAATTCTTTATTGAAAATCTGAAGTCTAATTATAAAGCAATAAAACGCTCGACACTTTGTCCGCCAACCATATCGTCGACCACTTTGTACTGTATGTGAAAGTTGTGCTCTCGATATGTGTGACCAAATGTGTTGCACTGGAATTGTGACCGAAAGGCATTCGTGTTAATGTTGTTAAGTGTGTATTGTTTTTATTGTCTCAAATTTAGGCAAAGAAGTGGCATAAATATTGATAAGTTATACTGTATTGCATGACATGATAGTCCCGCAGGTGTGAGGACTGAGATGACGACACCCAGAGAGCACTTTCCGAGTCGAGTGCGAAGTCATATCCTTTGGGAAGAGTTGAAGAATCGATAAACATCTCAAACGCCAGTCTCTTCTTAGCGTCAAACGAGTCATTTGTCACCCGAAGTAACTTTCTCTGCAGATGGAGGGCTGGAGATGCTATTAATTCAGTTAGAAATAGACTAAACAATTGATTTTCTACTCTAAATGATTGACAATTCTCTCCTAAAGATGGTTATTATTTATTTTACTTTTGTGTGTTTAACTATAATTACCAGTATTTCATGCAATTTCAAAGTAGTATTTTTGAAAACATTGTAGAAATTCTTATAAAAGTATTTTTACTTCACTATAACTTAATGTAAACCTTAAAAAAGTAGATTTATTTTGAAGAATAAATAAAGGATTTTAGAAATATGACAAAAATTCAATCGAAAAATTTAATGATATGACAAACTGACAAAAATATGTACACATTTTCTACAACTTTTACAATATTACATAATGTGATAATACATTGACTTAACGATCGCCACAACATTGATGTGCTTTTGACATGAGGTAGAGTACTGTATGAAAACATACTCAATATAACTGTATTATCACAAATCTATTTTGCAAACCTTGAAAACTAAAGTACAGATATAACATAGTTTATTTAATTTTTAATTTATACGAAAACCTTGAATAGTTTCTTATAATTGCACACAAAGAATTTCCTATTGTTTCTTATTATAACATAATCAATTCTTTATAAGAAAATACTGTATATAAAGTTATGTAAATTGTTATAGAATTTTATTATTGTTATGTAAAGCTTTATATAATGTAATGCTGAACTCAAAATGAACATATCCGTATTTAGAAATTTAAAATAAATTATATCAATTGTCAATTGAAAATCAGAATAATTTATCAGATGTACACAACGAGTCCGTCTGTACGAAGAATTTAGTGCATAAGTTATTTATTAAAAAGCGCGAATGCACTAAATTATCATGTTTATTATATTACGGTATTGTATGGGTATATAAAGCCTAAATTGAAAACAATTTTGTTAATACACTTTTATATTTGATTACACGAGTAATACTGTACTTCTAATTGAGTAATACAACGGCTCAACACTAATTGTTTATATCATTTAAAAAATGAGTGAAACGAACGAATTTAGTGGAAAAGTAGTTATAATTAGCGGTTCGAGTAGTGGTATCGGAGCCGGGATTGCCATACAGTTCTCCAAAGCCGGCGCTCATGTAGTGGTCACTGGACTTGAAGACGACAAAGTGGCAGAAGTGGCCAAACAGTGTCTCCAATGCT